CGAGATAGGGTTTCTCTGTGGTTTTGGAGCCTGTCCTGGAACTAGCTCTTGTAGACCAGGCTGGTCTCGAACTCACAGAGATCCGCCTGCCTCTGCCTCCCGAGTGCTGGGATTAAAGGCGTGCGCCACCACCGCCCGGCCGTTTCCCTTCTTTTAGACACAGAGTCTCACTACGTAGCTCTGGCTGGCCTAAGGCTGGCCTTGAACTCACAGAGATCCACCTTCCTGTGCCTCCCTGGTACTGGGACTGCAACATGAAACCACGTGCAGCTCTCAGCAAGGAGGCACCAGCTATGGTCTCTCCAGGCGTCTCTCTGGAAGCTCCCTGTGGAGTGGGTGCAGCTTCGAGTCAAGCCTATGATAAGCCTGGAATTGCCCGCAGATTCCAAGTGGGGTGTTTCAGGGACTGACCACGAACACAGAGTCTGCTCAGTCCCTGCCGATCACTCCCCAGGGTGGTTTCCTATCAAGTCCTACAGCGGAAAGGAGAAAGGCCTTCTCACAATATGTGGCATTGCTGTTTGATCTGAGATGTCCTCCGAAGGCTCACGCCTGAATGTGTGGTTCATGGCTTGTGCTACTGTTTTTCTTTTTATGTGTATTTGTGTGGGTAGGCAGGGCACGTGAGGGCCAGTGTCTCAGAAAGCCAGAAGAAGCTGTCAGAGTGGTTGTGAGCTGCCCAATGTGGGTGCTAGGAACCAAACTCAGTCTTTTCTAAGAGCAGGAAGTGCTCTAATGGCGGGGCAGGCTCTCCTGGCTCTTGTGAAGGCTGTGGAGGCCTGGCTGGCAGGCCTCTGAGGACTGTACCCACTTCTGGCTCGTCCACCTTCGGTATCCACCGCCACAGGAGTCTCTGCCACACACTCCGGCTACCCTGAGCTCTGTCCTGCCTTCCTGTTGTGATGGACTGAATCCTCCAGACTCTGCTTCTCGCCTTCCTGATGCCGCAACCCTTTGATGCAACCGTAACATTGTTTCTTTGCTACTTCACAACTGTGATTTTGCTACTGTTATGAATCATAATGTAAATATCTGATATTCAGGGGATCTGATATGTGATCCCTATGAAAAGGCCATTTGGCCTCCTAAAGGGTTGTGACCCACAGGTTGAGAACCACTGTTTTAAACTATGGGCCTAAATAAATTCTTTTTCCCTTTAGCTGTTTTCTGTCTAATGAATTTTAAACTCTGTGTGTGTGTGTGTGTGTGTGTGTGTGTGTGTGCAGGTCATTGTGTGTCAAGTCCTTTGGTGCTGGACTTACAGGTGGTTGTAAGCCAACCAACGTGGGTGCTGGGACCCACACTGGGGTTCTTCTGCGAGAGCAGCAAGAGCTTGTAACTGCTGAGTCATTTCTCCAGCCCTGTCAGGTATTTTGGCCACGGGACAAGAAAAGTAATCCACACTCATGGCTCACCGCTTTCTCTGCCGGCCAGCGGAGGAGCGGCACCCTTGAAGACAGGGCTGTTTTCTTCTGACCACTACAGCCAAGCTGTCCATCAGAGCTTCCTGCTTAGCCAGACCTTTTCCCTCAGACCTTCTCATTATTTGGCACTGGGCACACACGTAACACCTACCACGGGCCTCTGCCTACACGCTTCTGACAGGAGCACGGAACTTACCTGGATGGCTCTTCCCTCTTCCGTCCTGTCTGGAGCCCTTTTCCTGGAAATGACATGGCTTAGTTTTTCCTCCACGAGATCCTGAAGCCAGTGGAGGGTCCCTGAACGCGCTGTGGTATTGTTTGGCATGGGTGCTGCACGGCTTCTCCAGAGGTTCTACTTGAGGTCCCTCGCGGGTAGCTTTCAGAAGGTTCCCAGTTTGAGGTGAACTCTTTGGTCTTAAAAACAGAGAACACTCAAATGAGATGTTACCTCAGGGTCCACGAATAAGTCCTTTCCCCTCTGGACCCCCCGAGGAACTATGGAGTACAGTACAATAACAAGATGTAAATTGGTATAATTTCTTTTGTTTATGCTTTGTTTTTTGAGTCAGGGTTTCTTGGTAAAGCCTTGGCTGTCCTGGAACTCTCTCTGCAGATCAGGCTGGCCTCGAACTCAGAGACCCACCTGTCTCTGCTTCCTGAGTGCTGGGATTAAAGGTGTGCGCCACCACTATTGGTAAGTGTTATGATCTTAAGGAATTAGAGTTCTTGTTTGTTTGTTTGCTTGCTGGTTTGTGACAAGGTCTCCTGTAGCCCAGTCTGACCTTAAACTCTGTATCGCCAAGGATGCTCCTTTTTTTCTTTTTTTGAAAGACAGGGTTTTTCTCAGTAGCCCTGGCTGTCTTAGAATTCACTGTGCAGATCAGGCTGGCCTTGAAATCCTCCTGCCTGTCTTCTGAGTGCTGGGATTAAAGGCGTGTGCCACCACCACTCAGGACCAAGGATGCTTGTGAGCCTCCAACTCTCCTGCTTCTAACTCCTAAACACTAGGACTGCAGGTGTGTACCTCCACAGCCAGTTTAAGTACTTGAGGGGGGGGGGTGGAAACCAGGGCTTTGCACACACTAGGTAAACACTCTAGCGCGTGAGCTGTAGCCCCGGGCCTTAGTTATTTCATGATCCACCCATACTAGGCCACAGCCACAGCAGGAGATGAACACTTTTATTTTTGAGACAGTATTCCTATGTAGCCCTGGCTGGCTTAGACTTCTCTAGGTAGATCTTTAACTCTCAGAGATCTGCCTGCCTCTGCCTCTGAGTGCTGGGATCGAAGGCACAATCTACCATGCCTTAAAAAAAAACTTAAAAAATATTGTGAGCCGGGTGGTGGTGGCACAAGCCTTTAATCCCAGCACTCGGGAGGCAGAGGCAGGCGGATCTCTGTGAGTTCGAGACCAGCCTGGTCTACAGAGCTAGTTCCAGGACAGGCTCCAAAGCCACAGAGAAACCCTGTCTCGA